AAGTGGCCCGTGAACCATGGTTCACGGGTGAGCTTCCCCAACTACTACTACTACTACTACTACTAGCTAAGGTCGATATGGATATACCGACACTTTAAGTACTTTGAAAACGTGTTTATAAGCCTTATAATTAATAGCGGAGCAGCTAATTTCTCTACCGCTAGCTTGCTTTAGCTACGAGCATTTTAAAAGAAGTACTTCGAAGTTTAATTGAATATATTTCGAGCAAAAAAGAAATCCGTTAAATACGGCATCGGCTTTGCTATTTCTATTAAAGCAATTACTTTAAATACTCTTTTAAGTTAAATAGAGTTCTACGTTATAAAAAGCGACGTACCTTTTTTATTTTTATTAGCTAATATAAATAAGTATAAAGTGATTTTAAATAACTTGCGAAACGTGCTAGTTTAAAAGAAGAAGGAAATACTAATAGTAAGGATATTTAAGTACGTATAAATGCTATTAAATAAAGAGCACGCTGCTATTTATTATAGTATCGAAAGCGAGACCGTTTACTGCTATCTTACGAAAGAATAATTGAAGACTATTTATAAGCGTTTTGGCTACTTTTTAGCAGATCGATTTGCTGCTATTCTTAAAAGGGCCGAGCACGAATTTAAGCGAGATTTGCTTTATAACATCTAAAAGTTTTGCTATTATTACTAAGTATTCGGACGCTTTTTAAGGAGGTTTAGTATTAGACTTAAGAACGATATTGACTTTAATAATACGGTATACGTAAACGTAATGCATTTTAACGGTAAAAACGTATTACACGTCGTTTGCGATTTTATTAATTTTTAAGCCGCTATTTTTTTTAAAAGCATATCCGCATAGCATTTATTTAAAAGATTTAATCGATATTAAGTTAATACTTACGTCGGACCTTTTATAAACGTAATACACGATCTCGGAACCAACTTTAATTCAGCAACGTTCCGAAGCTACTTTAAAGGTATTAATAGCATTTTAAAGCAGATGCTTATGAAAGCTTATTATAGCGTCGAGCTAATAAAACGCTATCACGTCCTTGTGCGACGCGCTTTTAAGATCGTCACAAAGGAGCTTTTAAAAGCCTTAAAGGAAGACCGGCTTTAAATAGCTATTAAAGCTATTAACGACATAGCTAGACTTAATAGCCTAGTTCTTATACTCTTCGTTTTTAAGACCTTATCGAAGCTAACGAAGCAAGATCGACTTGCCGCGTTTATTTAAAAGCGTACTGCTGTTATTAATAAGGCTATAAAGGAAGTACGAAAATGCTACGCTACGAAGCAAGTTAAGGACGCGCTTAAAAAGAGGAATAGCTTAATTACGGAGCATACCTTAGACTTTTTTATTAGCTTACGGGTGCTCGTATAGCGGGAAAACCAAAGGTAGAAGGGCCTTTTTCAACTGCTTAGCAAGCAAGGGCATACGTGCATAATAGCTTGTCCGAGGCCTACGGAATTCAAATCAACTTTAATAAAACCTTATTATTTTAAAATTGAAAAGCTATTAAAGGAGTTGCAAGTACTTAAAGCAAAGGTGAAAAAAAAGGTGGAAAAAGAGGTAGAAGATAATTAAAGCGAAAGCGAAAAAAAGCTAGAAATACGAAATTCGCTTAAACCTTAATATTCGCTTAATCTACCGAAGTCGCTTAATCTAAGAAGCTCGTTAAAACTAACAAATAGCCCTTTTAACCCTTAACTTGCTAATCTTTAAAAGTCAATAATACTAATGGTTTAAATACTTTATCAAAAGTACGATTTTAGTATCCCGATCGTGCTCGACGAAAAAAAAAGCGATTCTTACGTTTTATTTACTAAGGACTCCGAAG